TCTTCCCTCCAAGTTATCTTCAATGCCTGAGATTCTCTCTTCTGTCTCTTGTATTCTGTTGTTTATGCTTGCATTTGTGGTTCCTGATCATTTACCCAGATTTTGCATTTCAAGAATTCCCTCAGTTTGTGCTTTCTTTATTGCCTCTATTTCAGATTTCATGTCTTGAATCGTTTCCTTCACTTGTTTGATTGCTTTTTCTTGGTTTGGTTTAGTCGATATCTTCCCATTTTTTGCTTCTATTTTCCTCCATTCTTTAAGAGACTTTCTCATTTCCTCTTTAAAGGCCTCAATAATCCTCATAAAATTATTTTTAAGTCATTTTCTTCTACTTCATCTGCATTGGGATGCTCAGGTCTTGCTGCTGTAGCACCACTACTTTCCAGTGGTGCCGTATTGCTCTTTATATTGTTGAGTGTGTTCTTACTTTGTTGTCTATGCATCTCTTCCTCTAATTGGCTATGCATCTCTTCCTCTAATCAGTATAAGTTGAGCTTATGCTTCAGGGGGGTCTCTCTTTCTCCAATTGGTATAGTTGGGGACTGTGGCTCCATTGACTTCTCCTTCAGGCACAAGTAGAGCAGAACTTCCAGTGAATGCTCCTCCTGGTAGAAGTGGGCCAGTGCTCAGGTGGTCACTCCTTGAGGTGCAGGTGGGGCTATAGCTCCCATGGGTGCTCCTCCCACTGGAGGTGTAGATGGGGCTGAATTGATGTAGTGGGGTATCTCTCTGAGAAATGGCAGTGGATGCTGGCTGGGACACAGGTGCTCTTTCCCAGAGGAACATTTTGCAATAGTCTGGAAGCTACTGCTGGAAACCACTTCACCTGGTGATCACTCCTCACTCCTGGGACTGAGGCCGGGGCCTCCCTCTGACACTGCTCCCAGTTCTGGGGCTCGTGGCTTCCTTGACATTGCTCCAGGCCTGAATGGAGTTTGCCTGTTAAAGACACCTTCTCATCTGTGTACAGAGTCAGGGTACTGCTTGCCATGCACAAAGATGGCACATTTTACCAAGTCCCCAAGGGCAGGGACAGGATTGCCTGGATTTCAACAATGTTAATCCCATGTCCACCACTACAATTTAAATGGGAGCACATATCAGAAAGTGAATATCTAACAAACTTTAAAGGTATTCAGTAGACTTATAGTCTCACTGTGTATTATCTACTTCCTTATTTTTTCCTTTTTAAAACTTCATTACAAAATAAATCTTAAGAATGTTGTCTCAGTTGGGAGTTTCTATTTTCTATGACAAAAATCTATGACCAAAGTGTTATGAGGAACCCACCAAACCACTCAGACCTCCAAATCTGTTCAGCTTTGTTGTCTACAACACACTTCTTTCTGTTGAGCTGGTTCTACTCCCTGTTAACAGCTCTCCTCTGCAGGTATCCAACAACTCTGGCATCTCTAACATCTTGGGTTCTCCAAGGCAGTCCAGGCTGCAACTTCACAGCTTCACACAATAGCCTCTTTAGTCCTCCATTTGGGGACACCCCTGACACTTGCCTGGTCTCAGCAACTTTATTTCATAGCTTCTTTCTTCTTAACGTTAAAGCCACATGGTTAGAGCTGCCAAGTCCTGCTGCTTACTGAGGCTAGAACTTGTCCTTTGGAGGGACCAGACCCTCACCCAACCCCCTGCTTTGGCAGCCATGACAGGCTGCAGAAAAGATCCAACAAGACAAAGGTCCCTGGACTCAGCAGCATGTGCTGAGCTCCTGACCTTGCCTGACCTTCTAGTCACTAGGAAGCTAAGTGCAAGGAACCAATCAGAAGTCAGCTGGTGGGCTGTGGAATGCAGAGCATAGTGACCGCCCTGGGAGGGCCTCTAGGCCATAGCAACCTTGTTGCAGCTGCAGCTGACCAGTGAACTCAGGTCAGGCTGCCCAAACCTGGAGGTGCACCAATCCTGAGACTGCTGCGGACCCCAGACACACCCCTTGCTCTACCCCAATATATTCCCTACCCCACTGCTGCTCAAGGTCCCTCCTGGCCCCCCACCTGCCTCACCCGCTGTGTTGGATGGATGGGAGAACCGAGTTAACTTGTAACATTAAAGACTCTTTGCTTTTGCATCAGATCCAGTCTCTTTTGGGGTTCGGGGTTTGGGTACATCACCTTCTCATTCAGTTACATCTTCACCAGCTTTCTGTCCTTCATGGCCTAAAAACTTGCTGTCCTGAAGCTTGCTCTGTAGATCAGTCTGACCTCAGGCTCAAAAATCCGCCTGCCTCTTCCTCTAGAGTGATTATATTAAAAGTGTGTCCCACTACACCCAACTCTAAACTAGTTCCTTTTTACAAGTTGGAAACTTAGCTGGGTGGTATCTTGTCCTGAGGTCACCACTCCCTGTATTCCATTTCCTAATCTGTTTATGTACTTGAAGACAGGACTCAGATCCATTGCACTTATGGTGCTCCTTTTCTCCTCAAGTATTTTTCCTTGCTTAGCTTGATCCTTTTCATTATATATCTTCATTAGAGTCACCACTAATATCCACAGGACAGAGTCTATGCTAGGCTGTTTTCAGAATTCTTCTGCCAGTGGAATTCATCCTCAGGCAGACTCTTTGGACAAGGGCAAAAGGCATCCACTTCCTTCACCAAAATATCAGAAGAATGATTTCTAAGCAGCACACTAAACTTCTCTGAGATCTCTTGTACCAACTTCTGACATTTCAAATCATCATTAGCACCATTGTCTCCCATGCCCCACTAAGCAGCGCTTAAAGCCTTCCACTGCTTTCCTGACTCAAAGCACCAAAGCCCATTATACTCCAAACAAAAGCATGGTCAGGCCTATCACAGCAATACCCCAGTCCCTGGTACCAACTGCTGCCTTAGTTAGGGTTTTTATTGCTATGAAGAATACCACGGTCACAGCAACTTTTATGAAGGAAACATCTAACTAAGGGTGGCTGGCTCACAGTTTCAGAGGTTCAGTCCATTATCGTGGAGGGGAGCGTGGAGGCAGGCAGAGTGGCCCTGGAGCTGAGAGTGATTCCTATTGACCAGAAAGCAACAGGAAGTCTACTGACCCCATAGCTCACCCCATAGTGACACACATCCTCCAACAAGGCCACAGTTCCTAACAGTGCCACCCCTTTGAGGGCCACTTTCTTTCAAACACCACAAAGGTCAAGTCACTGTCAGACCCCAAAGCCTGGAGCAGTCCAAACTTAGGAATTATTTCCTAAAGAGTTTTCTTAGTAACTACTTAGGCAGTGTCTGTTCAGGTGGGATAGGCCTTCAATCATCCTGAGAAAGTGTCTACAAACACCAGCAAATATTTATAGCCAAAAACAGTAGGTCTGATTTCAGTAAAGCCCAACTCCCAGTGCTCCCCATACCTATTCCTGGAGCCTGAATCACTTGTGGAATCTTCCTTCCCCCACTGGACTTTATCTGGGCACAGGTAGTGTATCTAAACATGGTGTCTTTAATTAGGCTTCTACAATTTGGAACACAATACTCAGATCTGAGGAATTCAGGTTTTATGTGTTCACTATGTTAGGTGACTTAGTAGAATTTCCTAACCAGTTATCCTTCCAGACTCATGTGATAGATGGCTCAGTTATCCAGTAGCATCCAATATCCTCATTTATCCTGTTTTTCTAGTTCCCATGTCACCCAGTCAGTTTTTCCAGGTTATATTTTGGGCGTACTTGTAAGCTGGTCTCTGGCAGGGCTACCAAGACTTGGAGAGGCTCCACTGGTTCTAAGGCTACTTCCCGGGCCATCAAGCCAGTGACTCTGTTGCCTCTGGCATCTGTGGACTTCCCTTTTTTGGTGTCATTTGTCTTCTCTATTTTTTATTTCTTTTCCTGCTGAAGTTAGCAATCCTCTGGGGCCTCATAGACATGGGCCATGGGGAAAGCATATTAACTATCAGTGTATGTGGTGATAGTCTTGTCTTTCCCCCATGGGGAATGTTTGAGTCAAAGCTAAAAGCTCAGCTTGTTGAGCTGGGGTTCTTCTGCTTGAAGATTGTGCCCAGATAGTCTTATTTTGGATAGTCTCTGTTGCCCCTGCATACTTGATTCTATCTTGGATGAACACTACCTCATCTGGAGTCACCAACAGATGTCAGTCAAGTCAAGCTTGATAGACTGAATCAGGTCAGTCACCTTGAGACAGTCATTCAGGGGACTCATGAGGCTATAATTGACAGGAGATAAACAGAGTTGAGGGCTGATATTGAACTGAGAGGCAGGACTTAGTATTGGGTCACTGGGTCTTAGAGGTCATCTCTCAGGTGCTCTCTTCAAGAGGGCCTCAGTATTGTGTGGGACCATCAGAACAGTTCTTTTTTGTTTGTTTGTTTTGTTTGTTTGTTTGAAACATGGTTTCTCTGTATTGTTTTGGATCCTGTCCTGGAACTCACTCGGTAGACCAGGCTGGTTTCGAACTCACAGAGATTCACCTGCCTCTGCCTCCCGAGTGCTGGGATTAAAAGTGTGCACCACCAACACTGGACAGACAACTTCCCAGAATGCTGGGGGCTGTGCTTATATGCCTGGACTTGCTCATGTAAGATGACAAACCATGTGTTTTCACTTCTGTAAACAAGCTTGCTTGCCCTTAACAACATGTAGGTGGATGTGTGCCTAATTACAGGTAGACAGGAAGTACAGAGCCTTGTGAGCTTTGCCTTTTCAAACCTCTGGCCAATGTAATGCAGACCTGAATCTTGAGAACATTTTTGTGTGCAGTTCCGGCACCATGAGTATCTGGCAGAAGTATTGGAGTAAAAATGTATTCATATTCAGAATGGTGAATCTCTTAATGACTCCAGACCCAGAACATTCCCAAATAACTCTGGTTTGTGTCAAGTTGATGTAAGACTAGCCAGCACAGACAGAATACAAAATGAAAAAATTTAGGTCTGGGTTTGCAACTTTCAACTTTCATGACTTTAGCTAAACCATATAAAATCTCTGAGCTTTAGCTTTTTCTTTAAAAAATGCTAACAGAAAAACACTGTAAGGCCTATAAGGAGATTTTAAAGTGTTTTAATAAGCATTTATTGTCATACAAAATAAAGTGGTCTTACTCTAACATGAACTTATGCTTTTTGCTTGCTTTCTTCCTTTTTTTTGAAGGCACGGCCTCGTTGTAGTCTAGGCTGACTACACCCATGATCTTCCTGCTTCTATCGCCAAAGTTCTATACTATACTTGTCTATCATATTATTACTGTTATTAATATATAAAGTATAATTTCATCACTTTTCAATATCACTTAACACCACAGTTAAAAGCTGTTTTTTGTTGTTGTTTTGTTTTGTTTTTGCTGAAAACCATTGTCTCCTCACTTTGGCCCATAGGCAGTAAAAGCAGGATAAGAGTCTGGCTGTAGGCTTCCTTCTGTTTCTGTTGTCTTTGCTTTGGCTCAGACTCCTGCTTTACTCTGCATACCTAACCTCTCTTATCTTCCTTCAAGGTTGAAGACACAAAACTAAATTGTTCAAAACTTTCAGTCACCTTGGACTCCAGGAGGAATAAATCTCAGGGGACATACAACCATTCCCTCTCAGAGAAGGGTAATTATCCATGAGGGCAAGAAAAGAGACAGAAGTCATTATCCTCCAGAAATAAGGTTAACCCACTATAGTGATGACAGTCACTAGATTGCCACCAAGAGTTTATTTAACAGGGGGGGCTAATGATGGCAGGACCACTTCTTGACCAGGACTACCTAATTACACATGTGTCTTGCTTTCTCAATCATATTCCTCCCCCTAGAGCCCAGGGAATCCCACAGAAAAGGAGGCAGAAAGACTGTAAATGCCAGAGGGGATAAACAACACTGGGAGAGCATGTTCTACTGAATCAATTAAGTAAGGCACATATGAGCTTATAAATACTGAAGCAGCAATCACAGGCCCTTCTTGGGTTTGGAGCAGATCCTCTGTGTATATATTATAGCTTTTAGCTTAGTATATTTTTGTAGAACTCCTGACTGTAAGAATAAATGGTTCTCTGACACTGTTGCCTGTTCTTGGGACTGCTTTCCTTCTGTGTCCACCTTTCATATGATCGTTTTTGCTTCATCTTACATTTTACTTTCTTATGTTGGGTTGTCATCTCTTAGAAGCCTTTTCTTTTTAAATGAGAGGCAGAGAGGGAATGAACCATAAGGAAAGTGAGGATGGAAGGAACTGGGAGGTGTGAGGGGACAGGAACTATGATCAAGATAATAGTATGAGAAGAGAATCTATGCTCGATAAAAGGGAAATGTACAGAGAGAAGTACAGGGCAAGGACTAAAGAGGAAGGAGACATGAGACACTGGCTGGACACCTCATGACACAAAGCTTTGGAGTGGCTTCCTCATGTGTGAAAATACAAAAGGAAGTACGCAGGACATCCCAGCAAGAACAAAATCATTGTGAGTCATTTACAATGGTGGCATCTTATTGGGAGGATAGAAATTATATGCCACACATGGTCTTTCCCCTTGCCTGACATAGAGCTTTGATGATTCAAAGTAATAATGGCATCTGGTGAGCTAACAAGATGCTGAGGGCTCTCAGGCAGCTCAGATTGGGGCTAGTCACCAGATGTCAACCCGTGAAGCTTGCCCTGTGTCTATCCTCCTCTACCTCAGTGCTGCTTGACTGAGAATGTCCACAGGCTCGTGTATTTGAATGCTTGCTCCCCGGTTAGGAAACTCTCTGGGAAAGATTAGGAGGTGTGGCTTTATTGGAGAAGATATTTCAAAAGCCCAGGCCCGTTGGGCAGTGGTGGCACATGCTTTAATACCAGTACTTAAGACGAGAAGCAGGCAGGCATCTGAGTTCAAGGCCAGCCTGGTCTACAGAGCAAGCTTCAGGACAGCTGGGGTACACAGTGAAAACCTGTCTCAGAAAGGAAAAGAAAACAAAACAAAACACCAGCAATCAAATCAAAAGCCCAGCCATTCCTAGTTAGCTCTCTCTGCCTCACGATTGTGGATAAAGATATAAGTTTTCAGCTCTTGCTCCTGTGACATGTCTGCCTGCTTGCTGCCATGCTCCCTGCTGTGGTGGTCACAAACTCAAAACCTCTGAAAATTGTAAGACAAATCAGAGGCTAAATTAGAGGCTTTCTTTCATTTTAAAACACACACACAAATGTATCTATTTATTTAAACATACACATGTATATGTGTACATGAGTGTTTTGCCTGTGTGTGTCTGTGCTCCATGTACACGCAATACCCACGACAGTCAGAAACGGGCATTGAATCTTCTGGAACTGGAGTCACAGATGGTTATGAGCTTCTATGTAGACCCTTGGGAACTGAACTTGGATCCTCTCCGAGAGTAGCAACAGCTCTTGATCTGACCACTAGAGCCCCTTAGAGCTTCCCTATGAGGTCACACGTTAATAAATCTACCTTTCTCTTTCTCACTATTACTTATCTTTTAAATGAATTTTTATTAAAAACAGATTCTTCTCTCTCATACAATACATCCCTACCACAGTTTTCCTTCCCTCTGTTCCTCCGAATTTCCCCACCTTCCCTCTCCCCCAGAACAACTTCCCATCGGTTTTCTCTACAGAAAAGAGCAGGCCTGTAAGAGTCCACAGCCAAACAAGAAAAACAGGATACAATAAAACAAGGCAAAAGTCCTCATATTGAGGCTGAACAGTGCAACCCAATAGGAGGCAAAAAATCAGAGACACACCCTTTGTCACAAAACATAAACCTAACAGTGTAACATGCAGAGTCCTAACCCATGCAGACCCTGGGTTGCTGCTTCAGTCTCTGTGAGCCCAGTGTCCTGCTTAGTCAATCTGATTGGCCTTGTCCTGGGGTCCTCCATCCTCTCTGACTCCTCCTCTTCTGCAGGGTTCCATGATCTCGTAGGGGAGGGACAGGATGGTATCTTCAATTTAGACTCTCCAAAGAATGTGTGGCTGAGGGTCTTTGTTGCCACTCCCATCTGCTGTCAGAGCAAGCCTCTGATGACAACTGATCAAGGCACTGATCTATGAGTATAGCAGAATTTCATTAGGAATTGTTTTATTGACTTTTAAGATCATCATCATCATCATCATCATCATCATCTTTGTTATTCCCCTTTGGTTCTGCTCTAGGACTCTGGCCTATCCAGTCTCCAGTTCCAGGCCATCCAGGCAGTATAGGGCATGAACTTCCTCTTGTGGCATGAGGCTCAAGTTAAACCAGACATTGGCCACTCCCACAAGTTCTGAGCCACTACTGCCCCAGAACATTTTGCAGGCAGGACAGATTGTAGGTGGAGGGATTTATGGCTGTGCTGGTCTCAGAATTCTTTTTCTGTAGCCTGCAAGGTACCGTTTCATGCCAAAGAGATTAGAATGTAGGGGTGAAGGCTCTATGCAGGCGTCTGCTCAACCTCCCTGTGCTCAGTGAACTATGTGGGTGCTGTCCTCCATTATTAGGGTCACTTTCATAGATTCCAGGAAGTTTCTACTACACTAGGTTTCCATACCATCCACAGAGCCCCCCAATTTCAATCATCTCTTCCTGTTCTCTCACCCTCCATCCCTCTCCACCCCACCTGACCCTTCCCACTCCCACACCATCCACCCCCAGTCTACCAATAAAATCTATTCTATTTCCACTTCTCAGGGAGATCCATGATTCCCACTAGAGCCCTCCTCTTTACCTAACTTCTCTGAGTCTATGGACTGTAGCTTGATTAACATTTACTAAACAACTAATATCCACTTTTAAATGAATATATACCATATTTGTCTTTCGGGGTCTAGGTTACCTCACTCAGGATGATTTTTTTCTAGTTTCATTCATTTGCCTCAGGATTTCATGTTATCATTTTTAACAGCTAAGTAATACTTTGTGGTGTAAATGTACAATGTTTTATTTATTTATTCATCAGTTAGGGGACATTAAGTTGTTTCCAGGTTCTGGCTATTACATATAAAGCTTCTATGAACATAGTTGAGCAAGTGTCCTTGTGGTAGAATGGAGTGTCCTTTGGGTATATTCCCAAGAGTGGTATTGCTGGATCTTGAGGTAAATCAATTCCCAATTTTCTGAAAAATCACCGTATTGATTTCCAAAGTGGTTGTACAAGTTTGCACTCCCATTCACAATGGAGGAGTGTTCCCCTTACTCCAATTCTCACCAGCATGAGTTGTCACTTGTGTTGTTGCTCTTAGTCATTGTGACAGGTGTAAGATGGAATCTCAAAGCAATTTTGCTTTGCATTTCCCTGATGGCTAAGGATGTTGAACATTTCTTTAAGTGCTTCTCAGCCATTTGAGATTTCTCTATTGAGAATTCTCTGTTTAGATTTGTACCCCGCTTTTAAATGGATTACTTGTGGGGTTTTTGTGATATCTAATTTCTTGAGTTCTTTATGTATTTTGGATATTAGACCTCTATCAGATGTGGAGATGGAGAAACTCTTTTCCTATTCTGTATGCTGTCGTTTCATCCTATTGATGGTGTTCTTTGCCTTACAGAAAATTTTCAGTTTCATGAGGTCACATATATTAATTGTTGATCTTAGTGCCTGTGCTGTCAGTTCAGAAGACTATCTCCTGTGACATTGTGTTCTAGGCTGCTTCCCATTTTCTCTTCTATCAGATTCAATTTATCTTGTTTAATGTTAAGGTCTTTGATCCACTTGGAATTGAATTTTGTATAGGATGACAGATATAAATCCACAGATTTCCATTCTTCTATATGTAGGCATCCAGTTAGACCAGTGTTGAAGATGCTTTCTTTTCTCCATTGTATAATTCTGGATTCTTCATTAAAAATCAAATGTGGGGGCTGAAGAGATGGCTCAGCATTAAGAGCACTGGCTGCTCTTCCAGAGGACCCGGATTCCACATGGCAGCTCACAACCGTCTATAATGAGATCTGATGCCCTTGTCTGGCCTGTAGGCATATATGCAGACAGAACACTGTATACTTAATAAATAAATAAATCTTTAAAAAAATCAGTTGTGCAGATTTATGTCTGGGTCTTCAGTTTGATTCCATTGATCAACTTGTTTGTTTTTATGCCAACACCATATGGTGTTTTATGACTATTGTTTTGGAATACAACTTGAAATAGGGGTGTTGATACCTACAGAAGATCTTTTTTTGTTCTGGAATGTTTTACCTTTCCTGGGCTTTTTGGTTTTCCATATGAAGTTGAAAATTTCCCTTTCAAGTTCTGTAAAGAATTGTGTTGGAATGTTGATGGAGATTGGCTTGAATCTGTAGATTGCTTTTGGTAGGATGGACATTTTTACTATGGTAATCCTACTGGCTCATTAGCATGAAAGGTCTTCCATCTTCTGATATCATCTTCAATTTCTTTCTTCAAACACTGAAGTTTTATTATACAAGTCTTTCACTTGCTTGGTTAGAGTTACCCCAAGATGTTTTATATTGTTGGAGGATATTGTGAAGGGCTTTGTTTCCCTGATTTCTTCTTCAGTCCATTTGTCACTTGTATCTAGGAGGACTACTTTTTGTTTCTGTTTGTTTGTTTGTTAATCCTATACCCAGCCACTTTCCTGAAAGTGTTTTTCAGCTATACAAATTATGTATACTATCATATTATCTACAAATAACAATATTTTGACTTCTTCCTTTCTGATTTGTATCCCTTTGACCTCCTTTAGTTGTCATATTGCTCTAACTAGAACTTCAAGTTCTATATTGAATAGATATAAAGAGAGTGGACAGCCTTTACTTGTCCTGATTTTACTGAAATTGCTTTGAGTCTCTCTCCATTTAATTTGATGTTGGCTATAAGGCTTGCCACAAATTGCCTTTATTATATTGAGGCATGTCCCTTCTATCTCTATTCTCTCCAATATTTTTACCATGAAGATTTGTTGGATTTTTATCAAAGGCTTTTTGGCATCTCATGAGATGATCATGTGTTTCTTTCTTTCAGTTTATTTATATGGTGGATTAAATTTGCTGCTCTTCTTATATTGAAGCATCCCTGCATCTCTGGGGTGAAACCTACTAGATCATGATAGATGATCTTTTTTATGTGTTTTTTGATTCATTTTGCAAGTATTTAATTGAATATTTTTGCATGTATATTCATGAGAGAAATGAATCTGCAATTCTCTTTGTGTTGAGTCTTTTTGTACTTTGGGTAGCAGGATGACTGTGGCCTCATAAAATAAATTGGGAAAATTGTGAAATAATTTAATGACTATTGGTGTTAATTCTTCTTTGAAGTCTGATAGAATTCTGTGCTAAAACTGTCTGGTCCTGGGCTTTTTTCTTCTTGGGGGATTTGGGGGGGTTGGGAGATCTAATGACTGCTTCTATTTCACTAGGTACATTTAACTTGTTTATATGATCTTGATAAATAAACAGAACAAGAAAGAATATTGAAAACTACAAGGGAAAAGGAGCAACTAGTATACCAAGGCAAATTTATTAGAATTATTCCTGACTGCTCAATGCATCTCTAAAAGTTGAAAGTGCATGGGCAGATGTGCCGCAGACTCTAAGAGACCACAGATGTCAGCCCAAGTTACTACACCTAGCTAAACTTTCAGTCATTATAGATGGAGAAAATAAAATATTCCATGATAAAGTAAAATGTAAATAACATCTATCTACAAATCCAGCCTTATAGAAGGTTCTAGAAGAAAAATCCAGAATGAAGGAGGTTAATTATATCCATGAAAGTACAAGAAATAAATAATCTCACACCAGCAAAACTACACACACACACAAACACACACACACACCACCACCACCATCAATAGCAACAACAACATAACAAGAATTAATAATCATTGTTTATCTCTCAATGTCTCAACCCCCCCCCCAAAAGACACATATTAACAGAATGGATGCAAACAGGATCCATTATTCTGCTGCATACATGAAACACATCTCATAATCATGGACAGACATTACCTGAGAATAAAGGGTTGGAAAAAGATATGCCAAGCAAATGTTCCTAAGAAGCAAGATGATGTAGCCATTTTAATATCTAATAAAATAGACTTCAGATCAAAATAATTAAAAGAGATGAGGAAGGAAGTTACATATTCATCACAGAAAAATCCACCAAGATGACATTTTAATTCTTGACATCTATGCCCCAAACACAAGGGTACCTCTTTTGCAAAAGAAACACTAATGCATCTTAAATCACACATTGGCTCTCACACACTGATAGTGAGAGACTTCAACACCCTACTCTTTCCAGGGGACAGGTCTTCAAGACAAAAACTAAACAGAGAAATGCTGGAGCTAACTGATGGTATAAACTCAACATATATTTACAGAACATTCCATCCAAACATACACAAAAAAATACCTTCTCAGAATTTTATGGAACTTTCTCCAAAATTGACCACATATTCATACACAAAGCAAGTTTCAATACATACAAGAAAATTGAAATAGCTTCTTGCATCTTATCTGGCCACCATGGATTAAAGCTGGATAGAAACAACAGAAAGCTTACAAACTCAAGAAAACTGAACAACTCTTTAATGAATGATAAATGGATCAAGAAAGAAATTTAAGACTTCCTAGGGTTCAATGAAAATGAATGTACAACATGCCCACATTTATGGGACACAATGAAAGCAGTACTGAGGAACGTTCACAGCACTGAATGTTTTTATAAAGAAATTGGAGAGATCACATGCTAGCAACTGAACAGCACACCTGAAAGCTCTAGAACAAAAAGAAGCAAACACATCCAAGAGGAGGAGATGACAGGAAATAAGCAAAGTGGGGGCTGAAATCAATAAAATAGAACACAACAAAAAATCAATGAAATAAAAGAGTTGGTTCTTTGAGAAAATCAACGAGATAGACAAACACTTATCCAAACTAACTAAAAGGCAGAGAAAGAATATCCAAATTAATAAAACCAGAAATGAAAAGGGGTTTTGTTTCATAACAACAGACACTGAGAAAATCCAGAGAGTCATAAGGACATACTTTAAAAACTTACCTCTTTAATTGACATATTAAAGATGGGGTGGAGAGGCTGAGCCTAGCCAGAATCTGGATTATTTGCCGAAGAAATCTATTTACAACTGTGCTGAGCAGAACCAGAAGAAAAGATCCCTTTTTGTGTGTTAGCCATTTGTACGCGCTAACCTCAGACAGAGAAAACATGTGCAATGATCTGTTGCTTAATTCTCTTGTCCTGCCAGGTCCTGCCACTTCAGGCCCAAATAAACACACACACACACACACACACACACACACACACACACACGCGCGCGCACACACACACACGCTCGTTATATTCATTATTAAACTGTTGGCCAATATCTAGGGCTTCTTATTTACTAGCTCTGTCTTCATTATTAACCCATTTCTATAAAGGTAAGTATTTCTACATGCCCTTATCTTACTGGAGAAGTTTCCAGACCTGCTTTTCCTTCTTCAGCTACATGGCATCTCTTCTCGGTTTCTCTCTAACTACCTTTCCCAGAATTCTCCTCACCTCCTAGTCCTGCCTATCTTCCTGCCTCTATTGGCCAAACAGTGTTTTATTCATCAACCAATAAGAGAAGCACGTATACAGGACATGCCCCATCAATGGTGCCAACAGCTTCTGGGACTAGAGATTTTTTTTGTCCTTCCCCTTCACTTTGGTGAAGCAGAGACGCACAGGTTTGATTTTACAGGTCCTACCCCTTGGCAAGCTCCCACTGTACCTCAGTAGCTTGAGAATATGCACTTGGGAAACTCAGACCAAGTAGGGAGGCACTATACACTGCAATCTGACAAGCAAAACATGGGGAGACAGTGGAAACAGATCTGAATGGTAGTCAGTGGACTGGAAATCTAGTGAGCACCAAAACTACATGGGAAACCACACCAACTTCAAGCAGTCTGTAGGACTTTAGCCAGAGCTGCACAGAGGCAGAGCCCATCTCAACTGGACACCGGAAGGAATTTGCAGGGGTGTAACCTGACCACTGCTCCACCTGTGGAACTCAGAAAGCTCCCTCAGGAGAGAATGGGATTTTCCCTCACAGAAGACCTCCCAGTACCAGGAAAGGAGCTCAAGGGAATGAGAGCTAACAACTGGGTCAGTCTTCACGCCCTGTGTCTACACACACATTTCCCTCCCTCTACATGTATGTCATCTATGTTTAAAGCACAAGGCCTTTTTAGCAGGCCTTCTGAGCCACTCTGTGCTCCTGTAGTTGGTTTTCATTTATCTACTCCATCCCCTTTCCCTTTGGTTTCCTTTGGCTTTTTCTTCTTCCAAATAGCACTGTGTGGCCTGGTTTGCAGTGATTCCTATGTGTCAGCCTCCTGACACATGGGATTTTTCTGCCATCTGATGGCATGTCTTAACTCTTTCTCTTCAGTCTACTTTTAGCCAGAATCCCCTTATCCCCCCCACACACACACATATGCACACTGGCTTTGGCCCTGGAGTTCCCCCTCTTATTACATTCCCCTCTACTATGCTCTTTCTATCAGTCCATTAACAACCATCATACTGTGGCTTATTCCTTCTTCTTCTTCCTTCCTTCAACTTCAATAACTAATGCATTAGTATACACGTACTGTCAATGGCCCTTACCGTATAAAATGATTACCACTTGTCTTAGCTAGGGTTTCTATTGCTGTGAGGAGACACAATGACCACAGCAACGCTTATAAAGAAAACATTTGACTGGGGCTGGCTTACAGTCATTATCATGCCAGGAAGCATGTAGGCAAACATGGTGCTGGAGAAGCAGCTAAGAGTTCTACATCTAGATCTTTAGGCAGCAGGAAGAGACAGTGAGACACTAGGTCTGACTTGAGTTTCTGAAACCTCAAAGCCCCCAGACCCCTGCATCCCATGACACACTTTTACCAATAAGGTCACACCTCCTTACAGTGGTGCCACATGGGCCTACAGGAGCCATTTTTATTCAAATCACCACACCCCTTAAGGGGAGATTATTGTGTAAGTAATTATAACTTGTTTCTGGAGATCTGCACATGAATAGTGACTGTTTTGCAGGGGAGAGTGAGAGATGGAGTCTGGTGTCCTGAACTTTAGTCTCACAGAGGAAAATCCACCACAGCCCTACTACATTCTAGGCCCTCTGAACATTGCAAACACCCAACGGAAAGAAGAAAGGTGACCAAGCAACATTTATAACTCAGGATGATATAAGCCCTGATCAACAAATCTCAATGTAAAAGCACAAGTTGTATGAAATCCAAAACACATCTCTTCTACAATCTACTGACCCTGGAGGAAATGGCCCTAACAAGAGTGACTAAGATGTAATTCCAGACAAAAGAACTCAAAAGAATGATGATAAACATGCTCAAAGAAATTAGTATATGCCTGAATGAATTTGAAAAGAAGTCAAACAGCTGAAACAATGGAGCTAATTGGCACCATAGCTCAAATGAACCTAAGAGACTCTGAAAACATTGCCTCCAAACCCTGCAGAACTCAGTCTTCTCAAAAGCCCATGAACACTCTTCTATAATGCATTCTGGTTTTTGACACAGAGAAACCCTTTACAAACACAGGAAAACAGAACTTCTTGTACCTTACCTGACCAGAGCTGATGATTCCTTTAGCAAAGTGACAAGATGCAGACTTAACACAAAAAACCAAGTGGCCTTCCTATACACCTTCCTATCTGCCTAGATACCTTTCTATATACCTTCCTTATACCAATATAAACAACTGAGAAAGAAATCAAGGAGACAATCCTATTAAAAATAGCCTCAAAATAATAAAATACCTTGCAATAAACCTTACCAAGGCAGTAGAAATCCTGTACAACATAAACTTTTAACCACCAAAGAAGGAAATTGAGCAAAACTTTAGAAAATGGAAAGACTTTGCCATTCATGGGCTGATGTTAATGTTTGAAAATTCCTATCTGCCGAGATCAATCCACAGATTAATTTGAACACAGTTCTTCACAGAAAAAGTAAAACAATAATTGTCGAATTTGCTTTTTATGTTTGTTTATTTGTTTTGTTTTATTTTGTTTTGAGACAGGGTTTCTCGTGTAGCTTTCCTGGAACTAGCTCTTCTAAACCAGGCTGGGCTCAAAGACACAAAGATCCACCTGCCTCTGCCTCCCAAGTGCTGGGATTAAAAGAGTGCGCCACCACTGCCCAGCTACACTTTGAATTCTTATGAAAGCACAAAAGACCCCTGGCAGGCAAAGAAATCCCGAAAAATTAAAAACACTAGTACAACTTTCACTATTCTCAACTTCAAATTATACTAAAAAGCCATAGTAATAAGAATAACATAGTGCTGGCACAGAAATAGACACGTGAAGTAATGGGATCAATTGGAGATCTGGATGTAAGCTCCCACAGTGACAGCCACCTGGTCTTGGGCAAAACTGACAAAAAAAATGGTGTTGAGGAAAATGAGATCCAAATGAAAATGAAACTAATTATAATATCTGACCCAGTACAAAGTATATACATGCATGCACACACACCTCTAACATTGAAATGAATTTGTTGGCAAAGAATGTAACTTGAAAAATATTCTGAGTAGATATCTCAGCCCCAGAAAGACAAATGTCACATGTTCTTTTTGTATGTGGACCCTAGTTTCAAGTTTTCAGATTTGACTGAATAGCTTGTAGCATCCAGAGAGTCAAGAATGCTATAAAGGAGTCAGAGGTGTAAATAGAGGGAGAGAACAGAACATATACGACGTGAACGCAGATATGAGGGATACTGGGGGTGTGTCTCAGTCAACTTTTCTACTTCTGTGATGAAACACCACCATCAAGGCAAGTTATATAACTAGAATATAATTTCAGAGGTTTGGCGTCCATGCTGGCAGAGCAAAGGCATGGTGGCAGGAACAGCTGAGAGGTCACATCTTAATCCACGAGTAGGAGGAAGAGAGGGACACTGGCAAGCCCCAATGCCCCTGCAGACATGCCTCCTCCAACAACGCCACGCCTCTTAATACTTCCCAAGCAGTTGTGCCAACTGGGTCCAAGTATTCAACACATGAGCCTATGTAGAATATTATTCAAACCACATTGTGGAAAGATTTAAGTGGGCATAGAGGCTGGGGGATGAGTGAGACAGTGTAGGCATTGCTAACTGAAAACAAAGAATGAAAAAGTAATGTGGAAACCTAGTTTGTAAACTAAATTTTCAAAAGTATTTTGAAGTGGGCTAGCCTGGTGGCTTCTAGGATACAGCTGCTGTCAAAGCCACTGGTTATTAAAGAAAATCTGAGTGCTCAGGATGACATATATGAATTGTTGAGCAGGAAGGCCCAGAGGCACCCTAAACCATGCAGGGTCTTGTCATTCGGCTTTGTAGTGGTTCACACATTTCCATACGTAACCATCTCCATGTCTCAGCCATGACAGCTTGTGCCTTTAATATGTATTAGCTTTTCTCCAGGGTACGAAAGCTATAAAGTCAGATTGACCAATGCCCTAGTTCCTTCAAAGTTGAGGAAAGTTCAAATACAAAGTGGGAAATTGAAATGAGCACTTGATTGTGCTACTGTTAAGAAACACTGATTCCTCCCTTAGACTCCCAAGGTGGCTAAAGAATGGGCACCTCATATGTCAGCCTTCACTCTGTGTCTGCTGTCTTTTCTTTGGCTCAGTCTTCTGCTTAACTGCATACCTAACCTATCTCATCTCCCTTGAAGGCTGATGACACAGATATAAACCATTGTTTAAAACCTTGGATTCCAGGAAGAGCAAGCCTCACAGAACAAACAATCCCATTAGATGATGGTGGGGCTGAACCCTAGAACAGAAACAATATTTTGTAAGAACCAGATTGTTTCCCTGGGGTAAGGACAGCAACTGATAAATTAACAACTAATCAGACCAGATCTGAGAGGTTGGAGCAATGATGGGCTGGACCACATCTTGAGCAGGATGGCTTGATTAATCATTCCTCTTGTCCTCTATTTAAACCCGAACCTAACGTCAGGACCCTGCAGGATGGGCAGTGTCCCTGGACCACGTCACCTGTTCTCTTCTCAGAGTGGCTTATTGGATAAATGCCCTCTTCATACATTCCATCATTGGCACGTGGGGGGGCAGGTGGCCATGCCTAGCCTCTTGGACTGCTGAAGCCACAGTCAGTGGATAGGAAAAATAAGAGTGACTGGAATCACATAGTGGCAGACTGAAACCACTGTTCCCTGCTGAGACACTGGAATTGCCCACACCTATCATAT